AGCGAGTAATGGCCAGAAAAGGACTGCCTTGATGAAGACGGGTTCACTTGAAATTATGAATTGTTTGTCTAGTAGGTGTCAGGTGCTTGCCTTGTGCATTTGGCCGTAATCACTTGGGTAATCGCTCAAATGCACACACAAAATGATTTTGATGCTGAAATTTTCCCCCGTGGTTTTTCCGCACTTCTTCACCGCGTTGTCTTCATCTTTATCGTTCTTGTCTTGTCCACGTCCTCGTTCTCGTCCTCGTACTCGTCCTCATCATCGTCCTCGTAGACTGTCACTGTCAAGTGTCTCCATCATCCGCCGAGACTTTCCACGACTTTCCTCGACTTTCGCTCAACTTTCCTGGGCGGAAAACTCATGGGGAGCATCGACCTTGGTGTCAGCTCGCATGGGAAACGAGTGTGCCACCAAATAATTGATAATAATGGATTTCTTAATAATTCACAGCATTCACAGAGAGAGAGAGAGAGCTCAACGAATTTGATGAGCGTTTATTTAATTAATACGAAATGACTTGCTGTGTTAATAATGTAGCCTTTCTTTTCTTAAGAAACATAAAGAGGGTTGCCCTTTAAGAGACAATTAAATGTCAGTTCTTGACATGTGCTAATAGAAATAAATCAATTTAAGTTGTAAGTGGGTGAATATTTATAATATTATTGAAAATGTCACCTTTAACTCATGTACCTTTAAATTGTTAAATTTTATCTACATTTCATAGCACTTCCTATAATAATTTATGATTCGTTTCCTTTGAATTCATACAAACTATTTGAATATAAATATAAATCCCTGAAATGTATAACAATGTATATAAGAGAAAACTGTAAAAGGGTCTTCTCTTATTTTTGGTCTTTTTCTTGAATTATTTTATTTTCCATGTACCAATTTCACACATTACAAATTCCTTGGCTTTCTCTCAATTTCTTTTGTGTTTTTTGCATGTTTTTTTTTTCTTTTCTCAACCTTTTTATTTGGTTCAACTCACAAAGCATTTTGTTCAACTTTCCCCTTTTTGGCTTTATAACTCACTCAACTTCGGTTTCCTTCCCGCTGCCGCTTTTCCGTTCCGCCGCACATCTCTCCTGCTTGGTCCCCCTTTATTTTTCCGTTTCCTCCCCTGTTTTTCTTGTCATTTAACCGAGTTTCCTCACTTTCACTTTTGGCCCAGTTAAGTAGAACATGTTGATTTGCTGCTTTTAATTTGTGCCCACCTTAACGTACTCAAATTCATCTTGGCCAAGTTAAGACCATTTATACCCCGCATCGTGTCAGCGGCATCCCTAAGCCATATCGAACTTTTTGTGGGAAAAACTGGGGACTTTTTCCTAACAGATTCCTTGACGCCTCGAAGTTTCATGGAGTTCCGCCCATAAATTATCATTTGGCAGCTACACCCAAACTCCCGGCAGCTCAACAACTACGACCACGCCCCCCACTTAAACACCCTCGGGACCAGGAAAAGTCTTCTTCCCGCCAGGATAATTTCCCCAGAGGGAAAAGGGAAAAAGCCAAGCCCCTTGTTGGGTCTGGGATTGGGATTGTAGGGGATGCATCGCATTATATGCCGCCAAGTCGTTGGTCCTTATCGTTGCTTCCTGCGGGCCGATTTAGCAAAGACAGCCGGGTCTAAAATGGATTCCAGTTAACTTGGACCCAGCACGAGAAGAAAATAGGGGTTTGCAGAGTTGGAAAATGTATATAAAATAAAGAAAAACTTATTTTTTATATTGGAAATTTAAATTATTAAATTTCGTTGGTTAAAATTCGTTTTAAGAGCAGTTTTTAGGAGGTTTCTTTGCAGTTTTACAACTGATTTGGTTACTAAAAATTTTTACTGCATACTTTTACGCGCATTTTAAAGGATTCTGTAGTAATTAGTGATTTCTGCAACTTTTTCCTAAATAGATACAATTTCTGATCAAATCTATATACTAAACCTAAAACCTGACTCATTTTCTTTTTATGTTAATTAAAATTATCATTTATACTTTATAATTAAAGCTTTAAAGCCATTTATTTGCTCAGTGCAATGTTGAGTAGAAGATCCTGGAGCCTGAACCCCAGTTCAACTTCCAACTGCGGCTAAAGACAGCGAATGAATATGGGGCTAAAACTGAGACTGCGACTAAAACTCAGTTTGAGGCTATAGCAACAGAGGCCGACACGTTCCTTGGCCCCTTATCATCGTTTATTGTTGTTACATATTTTATTTATATATTATTTTGTTGTTTTTTTTTTTCGGCAGTTTCGGCTGCAAGGCGCAACAACTTTCGCTCAGCCTTGGCTCGTTATTATCCTATTAGGATGTGACAGCACCCGGCAAACTTTTCATCCACTTGGAGGACACACAGTGTGGCAGTGGCACCATCGCAGCATGGCAACTGCGTGGCCCACATGTCGTATACATAACGCTCTTTATATACTTTCGCCTTTGAGCCGTCTCAAAGACATTACAAGCTCGTTAAAGTGAAATCAATGTTGTTGTCTCCATGGCATGTTTTTGTTGTCGTGGCTGTTCATTTTGATTCCGTCCGTCCATTCTGTCCGTTTTTATTTAGCTATGTATTTTTATTTCATTATACGGATTTTCTCTGCCTTTCTGCTGTTATCTGCTGCCAGTTTATGGGGGCCAAACTGACCATGAAAACTGTCACAAGAAGCGGAAAAGCACAGCAGGGAAGCGGCAAAACTTAAGTAAAATATACCAGCTTTTCCCCATGCACTCGGTCCTCGATGGCAAAGGAAAAAGCTAATGGCGTTGAGATAAAGGAAAAGTATCCGATTTCTTCTGTGGTTCTTGGTTAATGTCCTTTGAGTGGCAGAAAACAAGCCAAAAAGTGTATCGCTCAAGTGAGTTAACACCTTAATGGGTAAAACCATTGCAATCATTCCACAAAAAGTATCGTTTTATATGGAATTACCAAAAAGAATTACACTTGATACTGAAGCTTTTAGCAGATTTACATAATTTATACGGGATTTTGGGACTATAGCGTTTATTTATCTACTATATAGTATATAAATATACTAGATTATGCTTGAAAATATTTAGTACTAAATAAAATTAAACTATTAAAAGTCAATAAATATTGATAATTGATATAGGAGAAGAATGAAAAGCAAATGAAATATATTAAAACCTTTGTCTTTATTTTAAAAACCCACCTTAATTTTACATTCTTTATCACTGCTTTTTAATTACACAGCTTGATGAACAAATTAAGATTGGTTTTATGAGGTGCAATTCTGAAAACAAATAGGAAAAAAAATATAATTACAGACGTCAACAGACGTATGTACATATGTGAATAAAGAAGACACTGCCATGGCACCTCAGATTTCCGCATTCGACAAGATTCCCCCACAATATCAATAACGTCTGTATCAATATTTATGCCCAGATCTGTTAATATGTAAATCCAATAATTCCGCCAGCAGAATATTCCCCTGACATTGTTTCGGTTTCATTCCCGACGACACTTGCTGCCGAAACCAACCTACGAATGCGAATCGAAATAAGACAAAAAATATTACTCATACGCCAACGCGCCCCGCCGCTCACTTAGCAATTAGTCACCTTAACAATCTGCAAGTACAAGCGGATTATATCGGCTGCCGAATAAATGCATGCGGAGATCTCTCCAGTTGCACTGAGAGAAAAATATTACAAAATATATTTTAAAATTTTTAGTAAAATATATGTCTAAATTTGTGTATTTTGCTATATGTTTAGCAACACTTTTAAAAGAATTTTAAATTATTTAATTGTACCAACTATTGGATGATTTATTAAAGATTTTCATAATGCTTTAATTTATATAAATAGTTTTAATTTATATAATCCAATGATTTTATTTATATAAAAAGAAAACTAATAGAGGAAAAAAACAATAAAATTATCTTTGAAAATTTAAAAACTTTTTAATAAATGGATCTAAGAATGTGTATTTTCTTGTTTCCTCTATTTTTTGTCCTTCTTATTAATTGTTATTTGTATTACTATTAATTTTATTTATTGCATCTATTATTAATTAAAAATTAGTATTATAAAAAATAATTTTGGAACTAATTTTAGACAATGTAGCTCAAAAGTTAGATTAAATTCCTATTACCTAGATTTCTTCACAGAAAATGCTTAATTTTTTACATTTAAAAATTTTTGAACCTTAATAAATCTTCCCCCAATTTTCTCCCAGTGCACCAAACATGTTAATATTTTTTTTTTGCATATTTCGCATTTTACATTAATCCGCACCGCTGCTGCGCGATGGGTGTGAGGCGGGTGTTGTCGTGATATTCCATTTCCATTTTCTCATTTAACATTTTGCATTTCGTATTTCACATTTCGCACTTTGCATTTGCATGGCACACACGCCTTGGCCTGGAAATGCGGAATGGAGGCAACGATCTTTACTGTTTTTTTCTTGAGATTCCTCCTCTGGCTTCCCCCTGGTGCGATCCGATCCACACCCTCGATTAATATGCGTGTGATCGATCGATCGCAGTTGCAATTTGTATCTTTTTTCTTCGCGAATTTGTGCACGTGATGCACTCACCAAAAATTCCATCTTCTCCACTTGCTCTGAGGAAATTTACGACCTGTTGTTTCTGACGTTGATCTATGCTTTTCTCCAACGATCACGAGAGAGCTTTTCAGTGGAGAGCTAGAGAGTGGGGCCTGAGTGGGGCTGAGTGGGGGAGAGTGGGGGAGAGCAGCTAAAGAAGCCGGCTAGCCGGTAAGAGAGAGAGAGCAACCTGACTCAATGCATGGCCAGTTGCAAGGAATGCGGGCCAGCAGAGAGCGAGCTTTGCTGCAGATATTTCTCACGCTCTCCCCCCAATCGCGTCATCATCAGTATCTCTCTCTCTCTCTCTCTCTCTATAATATCGCTCTCCCCCAAGACACATTCTCACGGGCCCCAACAGAGAGCCCCAACGAGCTTTAAATTTGTGCGGATCAAGCTTGAAATTCAGTTAATTTTCAGCACTGAACGCGTGAGCTTTGTCAATGAAAACAACTTGAGAAAGAAAAAACTAGATTTATGCACACCAATTATTAATTTTTCGTTTAGTGAAGTGAAGAACATGTCTTGATAAAAACAAAACATCAAATACAAAAATTAAACAAAGTGTCTTCCAGTGTGTGTGTGAGAGAGTGTTGTTAACTAAAATAAAATGTGAACTAAATGCAAAACTTGGCAAAGAGTGACTAGGAAAAACAAACAGCAAACAGAGCAACACAATTTACGTGGCACAGGTGTGTAGAGAAGAGCATTCCATTAATTCTACATAATCTACATATTATGTGAGAGAGAACCTTCAACTAAATCATTTTTCAAACCATTACTTTTTTGTGAACTCTCTATTTCTTTTTTTTTTGCTGGCCGATTATATAAGCCAACAGAGGCGGCAGCATAAAAAAAGAAAAAATAGTGGAAGGGTAATGACGGTAGCGTACATACACCCAATATGGCTATACAAACAAACACCGACGACTACGACACACTCGCCGAATAAAAAACTATATACACACACACACACCACATATATACACTCTCCATAAACCCTACTATACTCTCAGTGGCGACACGTTGAGTCGGCCCGTACATAGATAAGATAGCATAGCTAATAATATAACAAGAGGAAAAACTGTACAATAACGTCATTTATAAAATATTTATGGTTTTCGTGTGTGCGCCTCGCTCGTTGGCGTTATTTTCAAGCGATTTTCATTCAGCAAGGTTTCCCTTCCAGATGCTGCACACACATATTTAAACATTATTCGCAGGCATTTGCTAAGTAATAAACAAATTATAAATAGGTAACTTAATAAAAAGCCAACAAGTCGAAGAAAAAAACAACAACAACAAGAAAACAGAAAACAGATGAGGAACGGGGCAGCAAAAAAAAACAGAGACAAATAGTCGACGCGACTGACAGATCGTCAAAAATGCTGAAAGCTTTTCGTACTACTCTATGCGGCGATGTATCTTTGTATCTCGGTATCTTGTATCTGGCGTCCCACTCCCACTCTCGAGCACTGTGTCGCGTTCAGTTTCGGCCTTTTCTTTATTTTTTCGTTAATTTTTTCTTTTTTTTTTACTTTGTATTTGTAGTTTTTTGTTTACACTAAGAAATCAAGGTTAAAAAGCGCAAACGCAAAAGCGGCGGCAGCATGCGTAAATGGACAGAGGTGGAAGTGAATTTATCGCAATGATCGAACAATTTGATTTCATTAGCCGCGCCACGCACTACGTTTGCGTATCGCGTATCTTGTATCGTGTATCTCGTATCTGTATCTGGTATCTAGTATCTCGTAATGCCCCCAACCCTTTTACCCTAACCCCTAACCGCCATGCGGCACGCACACCCCATTAAAGACTTACTTAAGCTCCGCCACTACACTAGGCTACACACACTACACTAGACTACACTCTATAGTGTGCCAGAAAACTCGCAATAACTGGTGAAACGTTGAGGGGGGGGCAAGCTTTAAAGAGGCAAAAGGCAAAACGCCGAAAATAAGAAACCAGAGCAAATAAATAAAAGCCCAGACGAAAGGGGGGAAAAGCTGACGTGACAGAGTCGAAACTTAAATGCTCTGGGGAACATTCGATAGCTGAGACAGGTTCGAATTGATTTCAATTCGATTATTCTAGAAATAATAAAGGTAGCTCAAGGAGACGGTGTAAATTTAAGAGTTTAGTAACGAAGAACTGCAAGAATCCTTTAACTATAGCCTGAAAGATACATAAGTATCTTAAGCTTTAATTTATGCTTATGAGTCGTCAATATCTTATTCATTTCTTTATGTAATCAATTGTTTCTGCAAACAAATTAATTTCCAATGAAAGAAGAACGACTTAAAGGAGGCAAACATTAAAAAGCAACGCAGGGAAAAAAGAAACCAAAGCAAATAAATAAAATACAGGATAAGAGACAAGTAAATGAAGTGCCAAGAGTCGAAGTTTGAATGCTCTGGAAGATATAGAGGTATTAAATATGTTCAATATAAAAAGTTTCTTAAATTTCTAAACCGATTTTAAGGGGTTTATTGTTTTTAAAGGCAGAGGAAAGTTTATCAAGTATTACATGGCTTTTATTACATTTTTAAGATCAAAATTTATATGATAAATGCAAAGTTGGGATAGGTTAGTTACCTTAATCAATACCTATAATATACTTAATTTATACAAATCCTTTTTATTTTTCAATATTCATAAAAAATATAAAATAAGCTTTAAGAGAACCCTTAAACAATGAAAAGTCAAATAGTAAAATTGGTCCCAAAACTTATGAGCAATACCGTTCCATTACTGGCTTAAGGGTTTTCCCCTACATTTCAGATTGTTTAAAGCTAAAAAAAAAAACACAACCCACCAAAGCAATTTCCCATCAACAGCTCAGCGAAATGCAAATGAAAGTTCAGCAATTGATTGGCCCCCGCTGCAAAAAACTTTACAGACTCCACCTTGAAAGGGTATTCTGGGCAAAAAGCGAGCGGCATAGAGGCAAATTCAGTAAACTCAGTAAATTCAGTAAATTCAGAGGTCAGAGCGAGGCAAAAGCGACCAAAAGCATAACAAAACCGTCATGAAACGAGACGAGACGACGACGACGACTTCGACCAGGCCTGGGCTACACTGAAATGAAATCTGACACCTGGTGGCATCAATAAGAAGCTCATTCAATACATCAAAAGAAAAACAAGTAAATGCTTCTCCTTCTCCCTTTTTGCAAAATTTGAATACGAAATTTGTACCATGTTTTATTTTTCGGATACAATTTGTTTGAAAACGAACTTGAACTTCCGAAAAATAAGACACAACACAGCAAATGACGCTTCTATCATTTGTTTTAGCATAAACCACAGAAAATTTGACACATCAAATAATATAAATGTGTTAACATTATAATTTTTCACAGCACACAAGGTGATGTGATATACATATTTCTCTGCTCACCAGACTTTCATATAAATAATCCAGCAACGAGAGCGAAAAAAGCAAGCTAACAAGCTCCGAATCACGCATTAAATACAAATTAAAATAATAATCTCATAATATTTCATTTTCAACTTTATGACAACGCGTAAAAATGAAACAAACAAACCTAAATTATATGATTCCCCAAAAAGAATTCCAACATGTAATTAAAATCGTTTAATATTTCTCATATGGTCTATAACAACGGCGCATACAACAAAATAAGAAAAGAGAAAATCATTCGAGTCAAGATGAAATTGTGACGTACAAACTATAAATTGTTCACTAAATTCCAACACCCAGCACAGATTTATTTAGCATTTCCCCATAATAATTTGACGTCATCGCCCATTAAACGAAATATTTAAAGATTTGAAAATATACCTACGATTTACAATCTCATAAGCTTTATAATAGCGGAATTCGCCGAAGATACAGGCCATTGGATATTTGGGTGAATGGTGTAAATATGTGGGTCTATTGAGAAGGTCGATTAAGTCGGAAAATTTAGGATTTATGCTTTAAATATGTATATTAGGATGATCTTTAAAGATAATTTAATATTATTCTAGTTTATAGTGGTATTTATCCACCGTTTATTATCTGAATTATCTCTTAATTTGATTACAAAGCTATCTCTTGTATATATACTTTAAAATCTATTTATTTCAATTATTTATTTCCAAAATATTTAATTACGTTCACAACTAAAGTATTTGATTTAATTTGAACATAATAAGCAAAAGCTTGTATTCAAATGTTAAAGAATTTAAAAAATGCATGAATACTAATTTAACACTGAAAACAGAGTACTTCCTCAGTTATATTTCTTTGTTTATTCACTATTTATATATTTAAATTGTTTAGAAGTGTTTTTATTCAATATTGTATTCCTAAAAATATATAATTTATATAATTCATATTTATTATATATTTTTTAAATATTTGTATAGGTCTTCAACAACATTTTTAGAACCTTTTCTCAACTGTTTTAAAAGATATTTAAAGAGTCGTTAGCAAAATTCATATCAAAATGTATCTGTTACTTGTCTACTTACTTAATAAAATTTAAGACAATTTTTTGCATTTACACTTTGAGAATTCTTTCGGTTCAGTGTACTTTTCGCCTGAAGTTCCGCGGGCCAACTCTAAATTGCAATGCGCTGAAAAGAGATGCCGTGCTGAAACGGCAGTGGCGGTGGCTATGGCAACTGAAAGAGCCCACCCTGCCGCACAAGAGGTTCGCTCTTGGCCTCCTCCCCACCCCCAAAACCCCCTTGCAAAACCCCTTTTCAAGACCCCTTGCAAGGCCCCCCTCTGAGGCCCCCACCAAAAGACCCTTTGTAATCGCCTTCGCGCCGTACCTTTCGAGTGAGGGCTGACGATGTTGCTGCTGCTGTTGTTGCTGTTGCTGCTGTTGCTGCTGTTGTGCTGATGTTGCTGCTGTTGTTGCTGTTGCTGCTGTTGTTGTTGCTGCTGTTGTTGCTGCTGTTGTTGCTGTTGTTGGGTTATGCTGCTGTTGTTGCTGCTGCTGCTGCTGCTGTTGTTGCTGCTGCTGCTGTTGTTGCTGCTGCTGTTGTTGCTGCTGTTGCTGCTGTTGTTGCTGTTGCTGCTATTGTTGCTGCTGCTGCTGTTGTTGCTGCTGCTGTTGTTGCTGCTGTTGCTGCTGTTGCTGCTGTTGTTGCTGTTGCTGCTATTGTTGCTGTTGCTGCTGTTGCTGCTGTTGCTGCTGTTGTTGCTGCTGTTGCTGTTGCTGCTGTTGCTGCTGCTGCTGTTGTTGCTGTTGTTGCTGCTGCTGCTGTTGCTGCTGGCTCATCAAAAAAGCCAAAAGTTGTTGAACGTGAAATTATTGTACGCGAACACGAGCAAATAGCGGGCATGTGTGCATGTGTTGGAAGTATTTATGCACACAGACTGAAGCGGATTTTGCATGTGTTGCTCCGTTGCCGTTGCCGCTCCAAGATAAACAGCAAAAAAAAAATATATAAAAAAGAAAAGGCTAAAAAGCCAACGTCAGAGCTGAAGCTAAAGCTAAAGCCAAAGCATAGATGCATCAGATTTCGCATTCAAGTGAAAATTTATGGCAATAATAAAGCTTAACTTTGCGTTCGAGGTAAAAAGATGATGAACTCGAGGAAATCGCTGGCATTCGTCAGCGTTTCATAGTTCACTGCAAAGAGACACCCACCCCCCGCCTTGACTTTTTCATTATTTTTCTTTTTTTTTTTTGCGGGAAAAAGTTACTTAGCTGCGCGCTATCACAGTTTAGTCATCTATACAAATATGCGATTACCGCACTCACACATAGTCAGAGCTGCAGATACAGATACAGGCCCCAGCGACAGATACAAAGATACTGAGCTAGAGATACAAAAGTACAGAGAATGCCCCCAAGGTAAACGTTCAGTTAAACGAGTACATATGCACCTCTCTCTCCATGGCAAATAGAAAATCTTAACAGGAAAGAAAAACTAAGCGATCAAATGTGCATTAAAAGATAGAGATACAAAGGTGAAACTCAGGGAGGAGTTCAAGAAGAAAAGCAGTTTCTTAATCCTTACTCCTGGCTTACTTTTCTCTTATAATTTCAGACTAGAAAATGTTTACAAATATTTTAATTAACTAATTTTAACTCCAAGAAAGTAAGTCATTAAATAAAATGACTTGATCAATTGATACAACATTTCTTGTTGACCCTCGGCTGCAGGGAAAGTTCTCCGCGATGAAATGAAAGTCCAACGATGAGAGGGTAAAAAAAAAAGCAGGTGACAACAGGAAGCCAAGATTAAAAGATCCGACAAAATCCGACCCAAATAAGATAAGATCTGTGCGGTGAAGCCGAACGAGACGATAATTAAAATTCCTCTAGATACAAAACAATATAACCGCTGATTGTTGTCAGGGGAACTTCTTGGAATATATATGTTATGTATACCTTTCGCTCCTTATATTCCATTCAATTTTTTGCTAGCATTTATATCCAATTATCACCCCGTTTTTCTTTTTATAAACGATATATATATATATATGGTTTCTTTTTGTGGGTTCATTAATCTTGAATTGTTTATTGTGGCTCCGCTTAGCCAAATAGACGATATTTATGGGCAACTCTCCGCGAAGCGTCAGCACATACACTCAATAGGTTACTGAACCTGCATGTATGTACTTCCAAAGCAAACATATTCCCAGAAATTTCTATTCATCCAAACACACACTCGGTTTTCACATCATACTCTCTCTCGTGTGTGTTTGGAGCTGAATGTATGTAATCGTTAGTGGACGAGGGACTCTATCCGAGAGATATTTCGTGCAACAGGAATCGCAGCAGCTCGGGTTTATCGGCTAAGTGAAAAACAACACCCCGCAATTAAAGCGCTTTTCCCCCGAATTTGGATCTGATTTTCCACCCCAACCTCCCCACCTCCCTCTCGTCTGGGTAATGCAAATTGTGCAGCAGATAAGATAAGGTAAAGGGGCAGGAGATGAGGTAGCTCTTTCTCATTTGCAGGGGACCATTCGACATTTGATGAAAGGAAATTCAGTTTCCCTGACAGAGTTAAAGCCAAGCTGAGCTCGTATCTCAATCTCATAAATCTCCGGCCCATAGACTCGTTTAAATGGGAGTGGATGGATACGTTTAGGAATTGATTGAATGCATATGAAAGGCAAATCATCGTCCGGCATTCAATGCCAATAAAACACTGGCAAAAATGCATGGTAGTTAAAAATTAAGTACTCATACATATAGCTCTTATCTTTTACCATTAATCAAACTCAATTAGTTTAAAATTGTTTGCATTTTTGTTGTTTATAATTAATGAACCGAGAAGCAAAACACCTAAAACTTGAATTAGTAGTCTCAATTGTTGATTGCATGGTTAAGATTAAACGGGATTTAAATCAGATGACTTCATCTCATGGCTGGATTCCCACCTCTCTCTCTATTTTATGGTAGTCTTAATGAAGACTAAATATTAAGGCATACTAATGTACAATATATTCAAATAAGATCTCACTTCGGAGAGATAATAAATGATATCTGAGGTGAATACATCTTTGTAAATAAATTAGGTGTGCTACAAAATGTTTATAGGAAAATAAATAGAAATAATACTAGAAAAGTTTGCAATTAAATATTTTAAGTACGATTTTATTGTCTCAGTGATTGCTGTGAATGGCACACAAGTCAAATTTGTTCGATTTGGACATGGACAGGTCTTTTATGGATGCTGGGACAAGGGAACTGCCAGGTCCAACCCGATATCCCCCCAGATTTCTGTGCCCCCCATCCCCCCATCTTTATCAGTGCCTTTTTATAAAGAGGGGAGAGAGGAGGTTTCAGTCCAGTTTCAGTTCCCATTCAACCAAAGCCAGAAAACATGGACAAACATTTTTCGGTTGCCGGGGAAAATGGCTGACCCCGACCCTTGTTGCCTAACGCTGATACCCCGGCGTGATGCTGCCGTTGCTCCTCCTCCTCGGGATGATGGAGAGACTGGCACTTGGTCATTAAAACTAACATACTCGCAGAGCCGAAAAAAGGTTGCTATTTTTAGCAAATGACGAAACTGGGCAAACTGAGCAAACCAAAGCAAACCAAAACCGATCCGATCCGATCCGCGAACCTCGAATAAAAGAGGCACAGAGGTGCCCTGTTCTTATTAACGCGTCGAGTGTTTACTGCCTTTTGGCTCTGCTCTTTATTTTTTTCATTTAGCGAATGCAATCAAATTAGAATTCGCATTTCATCTGATGAGCGGAATAACAAACAAAACTCTATCGTTCACTGAAAAGAAAATATACAAGGTTTAATGGGGGGAAAAATTGTTGGGAATTTCGAAAGGAAAATAAATACAAATTTATAAGGAATTTTTACTCAGTGTAAACAGGTTCTCTGTAATTTATTATCTTTTACAAATAAACTACAATAGTTTTACCATAATTCAAGCCAAGAAATATAAATTGTAGTATTATAAATTTCTCTCCCTGTTCTCTTTCTTTGCAGTTAATTTTCGCCAAAAAAGATGCCAATTGATTTTGATTTTTGCAAATTATAACGAGACATTTATATGATTTGATAGCCGGGGCAGGAATTTGCAAATTCACAGACACACACGAGCCTCTGGCAAGGTCATATTGATTGTCATCTGTCGCCAACCCCATCTCAACAGCATCCCCTCTAAGAAGAAGAAAAAAAGACCCTCCACAAAAGGCAACATGCCAAGATTGCACATGCCAAGGCGGTGCTTGCACCAGATGCTAATAATATATGGACTAATATTTGTTTCCAGTGCAACGACACGTAAGTAAAGCAAGCGCACACCCTGAGTTTTCTGCTTACATATATATTTACCCTAGACAGCTTAATTTATGGCCATTGTCTGGGTTAAAAGCTATTGGTTTAAGACCTTATCAAATTGTATCAGTATCATCAGGTAGTTGAGCATCGCTTGTACTATGCAGAATAGCAAGATATTGTTCAGTTTAAACAGACCACAGGCGTTGACAGTAAATATATACTCCACATTCTTCAGATACAATCCGTAGTAGTTAAGCTGCAGGTATAATAATTTAATTAAATATTTAAGACATATTCTAGGGTATTCAAAATTGTGCATGTGCATTTACGTTGGTAATAAAGAATTCAGGAAGTCAAGTTCTGATTCTGATTCAATTGAAATCATTGCACATCGTTATCAATCAGTTTTCAATCTTTATTGATTCTTTTTCTATAGCTTTAAATGCTCTTCCTTATACAGCGAGCCTTAATTATTCATAACTATTTTATGATGTGTCATTTACGAGTAGTCTTCACTGAATATGAATGGGATTTAATTAGTTGTTGAAAACAGTTTTTTTTCTGTAAACTGAACGAGTGCATACTGGCTATGGATACATCTCATTATTGCAAAACTTACTGTATTCCTGAGTTCCCTGGTTATGATTCCTGATGGAAAAGTTCGACTTCCACATCGTAGCTTCTCCCTGGAGCAACTGAATCTCCTTTCCGAGTGGAAGGTGGACAGAATTACCAGCAGAAGATTGGTGAAAAGACCCGTCATAAAAGCAATGGCATAATAGTTCAGCGGGAATCCATGACCGTACTTGCGAATAATGAACTTGCTGTACTTCATAAAGTAGGTAAAGAACAGATGCACCATGCATTCCATGGGAACATAGGCCACAAAGCAGACCGCCTGGACACCATATAGAGAGCTTATAGATCTGTGCAGCTTCAGGAGCTCCTGGTGCACTCGGAGCAGTTGCCACAGCTCCAGGGCAAGCCACTGCTGCTGTTTCCTATACAACTGCTGGCGATTTGCACCATATCCAGCCTGTGAGGTGCTGCCCTCCAGTATGCACCCGACATCCGTGAGTATCCTCTCCAGCAGCAGATTCAAATGCCTCACCAGGTGACCCAAAAAGAGCAGGGACAACGTGTACATGCCCAGGGAGAGCTGCAGGGTTAGCTGGCAGGTGAGGATGAAGACCAAACAGCAGGCGTAGGTCAGATTACGCCTCACCTCCGGATCATCCTTAAGCACCTGAAGGGGCTGAATTGTCGAGAAGATGAAGGAGCACAGCAGCAGACCCAGTTGCATCAGATGCCTCCTGGTGGCCAGACAGTCCAGTGAATCCCTCAGCTCCTGCGTATGCATTAGCCTCCGGAGCTGCCGGCGGCATCGAAGCAATCGATTCAGACACCCAATGATCTTCTCCTGCTTGAAGCAGTGTATCCACTGGGCGACGAAGGCACAGGCCAGCAGCAGGACATATCGATTGAAGCCAATCAGGAGCAGCAATTTGTTCTGACGCAGGAAGGCCATCCGATGGTAGATGCAAAGGAAGGCGAAAGGCGAAATGACGCCCACAAAGATCAGCATCATCCAGCCATGGAGGCGCCAATACAAACTCCTTCTCACTCTCTCAATGCCCCGAGGACTTGACTGGCCGGTGGCCATCAGGCCAAACACTCTGGTCAGACTGTACAGTAAGGCTAAAATCAAATGGCCCAAACGTACCGACCAACTCGGCATCATTGCTGCGATTTGAGCGAAACAGAGCTGGGAATGTGACTGCGCCAAAGGCAGTTGCATAATCAAATCACAACCAAAGGCAGCACTTAAAGCAAGAACACTTAGAGAAACTATGTGTATAAAATGGGAAGGAAAATCGTGTATTTAACACATATTAAGAGATGGATATAAGATTTCAGTGAAGAGTTGTTTGAAGATGGCTTTTAATCAATACAAAATAATAAGATTTTTTTTTAAACTACTTTGAGAACTTTTTTGACAACTATTTCCTTTATAAAAACCCAAATTTTTCCGAGTGTAGTTATGCCAGCTATTAGCCTGATTGAATTTCGTTTAGCCGAGGCGTTCACTCAGCCAGATAATCTGGCCAGATAACACACTCAGTGAGCAGCCCCCAAAAAGTGGCACAACAAAAGGGTTCGCCATCGATGGATGGATGAATGAATATATGGATATATGGATGGATGGATGGATGGATGAATGGATGGATGGATGGATGGATGGATGGATGGATGGATGGATGGATGGAAAACTGGCTGATTGGCCAGACCAGACAAACAAGACAAAAGAAAATCACACACTCACTCTCTCTCTTGTTGTCAGATGAAAATTAGGTAACATCGGGAGGCTTTATGGTCTGTGGCTTTGCCAGCCGCACAGATGTATCTCTCGGATGTCTGCCATCGGGAAATCACTCAATTTGCAAGTGGCTTCAGGTGTCCTGTGCTGCCTGCAGGGTTTAAATTGGGATTTCCAATCACAGCTGCTGCTGCCGTAGGAGATAAACTAACAAATTTAAAATCCTGACACAGTTCGGTGTGAAGATACTATGTATCTGTATCTGCAGGTCACAGACAGTGTTGTTTGTCGTTCTCGTTTGTCGCTGGATTATTAAAAAAGTTTTTTGCTTTTTAAAGAGTTCTTTTCACCCCCCCTCTCTCGTCTCCATTCAAGCTACATAAAATGCAAAACACTCTAGAGTGTGTGTGTGTACAAGTTCTCCTACTTTCATCCTTTATGAAAACTTTCCACGGCTGTTTATAAGTTTCTCACCGAAGACCCCAAAGTAGCAGCCAAACTGGGGGGGGGGAAAATCTACACAAAAAATAGAGTATAAAAAAAAGGGGGTAATATAAAAAGCCAACCATGTATCTACAAGTTTCTGTGCGCCTTTTGTCCTCTTCCCCAGGAGGGGAGGAGGAGGAGGATCTGGTTCTAGGCCCCGGTTCTCCTCCATAGCTTCTGGTTCTGTCGCCGGCACCGACTTTATCTGAATAGGCAGCCAAGTGTGCGGTTTGGTTTTTATCTAGGTTAGGTGGCCGGCTACTCTGACAGTTGCTCCGCCACTATGAGAGCCCAGCTCCAGCACTCAGAGCTCTGCGAAAATGCGAAATGCAATGCCATGTCCTCGTCTGACGGCTAATTCATTTACATTTTCCTTTTTGGCTACTCTACAGCGGCGATAAGAGCATTTCTAGTCAAGTTTAAGTATTTGTAATTTAATAATTATATTTATAAATATACAAAAACAATACAAAGGTTGAGATCTTACTTGAAAGACAAACAAAAAATGCTTGAAATCATAATACTCTTTTTATATAAAAAGAAAACTTCAAAGAACTTTTCATTTATTTAAGAAAATTTATGATAAATCATGGAAAAATGTTTGTAATAGGAGATAGAACATTTTTTCAAAATGTTTCATATAATTTATAGACTCTATGCCTTAAAAATCACTAGAGTATGCCAACTCCTTGAATAGAAACTAAAGTAAAGATTTTTCTTTGGAAGCAAGTTGGTCAGGATTTAAGTTGTAGGTAATTTTTTGAACCAACTTACGATAAGATTTTACTTGGTAGCAAACTCTGAAAAGAAAAATTGAAACCTAAACCCAAAACTTGGTGTGAAAAGATAGTTAAACCCTAAGCAAAGTCTAAAAACAGAACAATCTAACATTTACTGGGTTTCAAGTATATATAAATGTATATAAAATCAAGTTCCTAATAGTTTTCTTAAATTTTCTTCTTATCTAAATGCTACCTTCCATTTTCTATATATATCAAATATTTCTATATAAAACCTTATGTATATCTTACCTAAAAACCTGCAACAAAATCCCTCAAAAAGAGCAATTAAACTCCGACTAATCCCGTGTATTTTGTATTGGTTTTTTTTCTGATTTTGTCGAAAATCAAGTTGAACAACATTTAAATTGTTTTGTATTTTTTTGGACATGGCTCGTTTAAATCTAACCTCCCTGCCGCCAAAACTTCAAAGTCGAACTGCGGATACGAGGGCGGCTGACAACTGTCCCAGCTGTCCCGCTGATAACACGACAGCGTCAGCGAATAAATGCGAAAAACAGCGAACAAGTAAAACTTTAATTAAATAAAGTGTAAGAAGTTTGTTGAGCTCCTTCAAAGCAGCCGATGCCGATCCGGACTTTGCCCGGGTCCCGGGTCCCGGGTCCCTGGTTCAGGTCTGTCCTCCGGAACAAACTCCACAAACATTCTGTCCTCCAACATCAAAGTCATCAGGCCCAAAGGAACAAACCAAACCAAAAAATAAAAAAACCAAGGGGAAGAAAACAAAAAAAACAAAAGACGAACCGAAAAAGTTTAGTTTTTAATATTCGACAGTGCGGAGATTCTTATGCTTAAATCAAGTAGATTTTCCCCAGCCAGATATTTACTTTTGTTCTCGGCCAGAACTTGATTGTTTACCCGGAAAAAGGAAAATCGAGGGAGCTCCGACTCAAAGGTTAAAGGGCATCGCGGGGAGAGAGAGAACGAACGGAATAAGAGGAAAATTTCCCATTATATGGGCGAGTGAAAATGACAAATTAACTTGAACAATGAACTTGCACGTGCACCAAAAAGAAAGGAGAAAACTCCGCGGAAACCCCGAAAATAAAAGCCCAAAATTTTAGTGGGGTGTAGTCTCAGGTATAGAATATAAAATTAATGGAAGGCAAACAATCAATAGCAGTCGTAATAGCATTTCCAGAAAGTGAAGAAAAACTTTAATTGGTTGAACTTTTTCTCCCTGGCCACCATCCGCACAGGTGGTAAGAGAGTCACCATTCTTGGCTAATGAATCACTTACTTAGATAAGATCCGGACATGCCATCAGATAAGCCTGACCTTAATGCATTCAGTTATATATATCCCAATGACCCAGAGACTACTAACAAAAGGGGAATTTAATTAAGGCAAAGATGTGGAAAAACTATATTGGAAAAATGGGTGGAGATGAAGTAGATATAGAATAAAGAATTTTAGAAAAGATTATTCAGTTTTTAATGAAAAATCCAGTTGGGAAAGATATCTGATAAATAACAAGTAGAGAAAATATAATTGAAAGGAAACTGCTAAAGACCTTAGACCTCTCTCCTCTTAGCTCCTTTTCAACCTTAGTTAAAGCACACTTTAATAACTCTTAAATGTAGGAGATACTATATAGGTTCTTGTGTAGTTTATTTGTCCTTTTAAGAGGCTTACCCTATTACTATTTGTCCTGTAGTTAAGATGTCTTAAACACTATGCCCTACTTTGGGGGGGAGCTTCCATTAAAACCTGCCACCCCACGCAAGTCCCAAAAACCCCACTTAAGTACACCTAAGCTGCAACTGAGACCTTCATATTTTATTGAACCCACCACTATAATGGCTGACCTGTATTTTCGCCTTCCGATTATTGCGTTTCAGTTGACCAGATGCCGCTGCTGCCGGATCAATGTGACTCAGTCAAGTGTCCGCCGGACGCGGAAATGCACTGTCCGGCGGATAGTGCGGTGCGTGAGAATCTGATTGCGGTGGAGCTGATTAAGTCAAATGCGGTGGAGCTACCCAATGATTCGCTTGTGGCCGATGACAGGGACAAGGACAAGGACACAGCGGTGGAGTTGCCGGTGTCCTCGTACTACAATAGCACGATCTCTGAGAGTGACTATCAAAAGTGCTGCCTGCCCCGGAAGTGTGTGTGCAAAACGTGCTACATTCCCGACTGCAACGAGGATGAGGTGGTGGCGGAACTGGTGCCGGAGAACATGCAGTTACCGGGTCAGTGCTGTGGCACCTACGAGTGTCGCGCTGAACCCAATTGCACGAAGGTCCTGGACACGGAATTCATGTGGCTGAAGGACTGCCAACGGTGCAAGTGCAACTCCGGTTTTCTATTTTGCCACCAGAGCTGTGACGAGCAGGCGGGTGGCGGCGTGTGCGAGTCCAAGATACCGGGGATATTCTACAAGGATGGCGACACCTGGACCGATGGTTGCCAGGAGTGTGAGTGCGTCAAGGGTGAGTCCAAGTGTGCCATGTCCTTTTGCGGCAACCTCAACTGCCCCAGCGAGCGGCAGGTTACGCTTAAGGACACCTGCTGTCCTGTTTGCTGGCCCAGTTGTGCCCCCATGCCGCACGACAGTGGCTACAGGGATTACACGGAAGAGGAGTCCCAGGAGCTGGATCAGGACCAGGAGCAAGACTCACTGCCGCCACTGCTGGGTGAACCACAGACCATCACCACTACAACTACCAGCACCACCCCCACCACTCAGACTTCTGCGGAGCAAAAAGCAGATTTGATAGCCATAAGTAGCCCCATCTCCAGCAGCAGCACCTCAACCAGCACAACCACTGCCCCGCCGGGACCCATCACCATCTGCCAGAGTGCCTTCGACCAGACCTACAACTACTTCTACGGCCTGTTGACCTACTCAGTGGTGGCTACCATTATCATCTCCGTTCTGAGCGGTTATATCTACATGCAGCGCGCCAAGAAACGTTCCTACGATCCGGTCTCTAGTCTGGACCACAGCATCTAAGCAAAGGAGAGATCTTTCGAAATACTATTGCAACTACTAAATGTAATCAAACGTTAATTAGCCTCTAAGTATTCCCGCTTTATATTTGGTTCAGACTTTATGTTTTCGCTTTTTGTGTGTGGCCAGGCGTGCAATTGATGCACTCATGCCACTGGTCTGGTCACACCGAATGAATCGGCTTAGAATCGCTTAGATAGGAATACCAAATATCCAACACAAGTCTTTCTAATGCCTTTTGCCTTTTTGATTGTTTGGTATTGATCTCATTTTAACTTTTCACTTTTTTCACTTTTTCACTTTGCAACCCAAAAGAGAGAACTAGAAAAGCACAAGAAAATTTGGGGGGGAAAATAAGAAAAGAAACGAAACGAAAAAGATAAGCAACGAACTTCCGCAGCAACAAAATCAAAGTATTCTTATGAAATTACGCAAAACAACAAAATATTTAATTACAAAACGAAACAAGAGTTACTATTACTAAACGCAAATCGATGTATGTATATGTATATACTTAATGCTTTCCCCTGCCTTCCATGGGAAGTCCATTATATATATTTTTTGTAAACTTAAACCTCGATGTAAGAGAACTATAATACCAAATCAAAATACTTAAAAGCGAGAGAGATGTATCCACTCGCTTGCAGACACACACGCACGTTCGTCGCTTTAGTTTTTAGTTGTTAGCTCTTAATTTAGGAAGTATGTGATATATATGCTAATTAGCCTATGTAATTTGTCGACACCAAGGCACGCTGCTGTTTCGAAGAAGGACAAACAGTATTTGCAACACAAGACCCCGAATTGGAATCGAAGAAGGAGGTTCTATACTTTAGCTAAATGTCATAAAGTTGCCACATAAATGTATACTATAAAGAACTTTATTTAAATTTATGTTTAATAATAAACCAAAATTGGTATGCAAAGCGAGGAAACCAATTAAATTCTTGATTGTTGTTTAATAACGAGTGTTTCGGGAAAATTAATGACGCTGAAAAGTTGTCTGGCGTACTGAAGGGAATATTTATTACAAAACAATTTTTGAGGGGTAAATCTATACCAAAAATATTATAACTTTAACTTGTGAACTCTTTAAAATAAAAACAAAAAGGTGTTTTGTTAACTATTTGGAAGTTTTAAAGATTTAAAAAATCTATATGCTGCTTTTTTTATGAGATCTTGTATAGAAAACTCCCAAAATCTGCTTCGAAACAAAACAAAGCACTTCAATTAATACTTGTTTTGTTAACAAAAAATCAAAACTTGTGGCAAAAATAAAAAAAGTTCCTTGGGCTCACACAAATTTAAAATTCGACCTTCAGCGCCAAAGCGAAGAGCAAGTGAGAAAAAGGTCGCTGCTTTCTGGCAAATTGTATGCTAAGCATAATGTCATGCCATGATATGATTTATAATATGTAATAAGTTCCAGCACAACTTGAAGTGGGTAACATAAAATATATAAAGGTACGGATGATGGGCGAAGGTCCTGGGCTGAACTGTTCCGTTCCCCTTGGAGACCCTGAGAGAAATCTGTGGAATATGCATGGGAATTGGGTATTTTGGTGGCGCCTTTTGTTGTGTGGGCGACCCACATCGAGAAAAATGGAATCCGGAGTCCCCAACAATGTCATACATTTTGTTTAGATTGTTATCAGACGCCAAATATACCATGAATAAGGCATATAAGTAAGTATACACTCGAAGACACTAAAAATCAAACGAATTTTTCTGGCCTCGAAATGTGTAAACACATTCCACGGGGGAAAATGTTTTTGGAAATATTTAGAAATTCTTGGAATATTCTAAAATTAAGGTTGAGTTTAATATGAAAATTACAAGGTAAGTTTATATAGAATTTAAAAAGAAAATATTAAAGTAAAATTGTGTATTTTAGAAGATATTTATCCTTCTCTTGCACAAGTCACTTCTTAATAATAAAATACTGGCGTATATCTTTAATAATACAGTCTTTTAGAGGGTATTCCTTTAAGGAATTTAATCAGAGTTCCTAAATAACCTGTTTAACATTATTTGTAAAGTGTAGATATATATTTGTTCGGCATTCTATACGAGCCTGTAGTTGAGTGGGTGGCATAGTGATTTACAGAGCCATACACCTAATAAAAATGCCACTCGAGAGCTGAGGGGGATAGTGTATTGGGTATATTGCATATTGCCCCAGCGCCAAGGCAGGGCCAAAATAATCACTGCTCCCATCTCCCCCCACTTGAACGACGCCCCTGGAAACACGTGTAGTCGTCCCCCCCCCCTTCAACAAAGCGGCGATTGCAACCGTCAAACACTTTGTAAGGATAAGCAGCCAGCCAAAAAGGAAAATATGGTAGAAGGGAAAGGTATTGGATGCTGGGCATGATGCTGTATAACAAAGGCACCACACAATAGACTTCAAGAGTTTGGATGACACTTTGAGTTATTTTGTTGTTGATGCTGTAAAAACACGAAAGCGAGCCCCAAAGATATGCGATGGTAGATTTATTGAGGCTCGGCAGGAGCAACCGCACAGCAAAAAGCATCTGTGATCTGAGGAGGAGAGGCTGAGCTCCATGCTTCCTGCTCCCTGCTTCCTGCTCCTTGCTCCTGCTCCTGCTCCTTTTCCTTCGATAAGCGGAAGGACAAGCGCCCACTACACAGATTTGCTTTTCAGCCACACACAACAGCAGCAACACAACAAAAAAAAAAAAAATTCGAAGAAATATAGGAAGTACGAGCATAAAGTGGATGAAAAAAGTATACTGTTGAAATTTATATCTCGGGCGTTCGTTCGCCATTCAACACTGCCGTCATCATCATCATCATTGTCCTCGTCATCATCCTCGTTAACCCTCTAAATGCGGCCTAAATCACTGGAACTTTGCCGAGTTCCTGGTTACTTAAAAAATCTTATTTCCTTAAAAACATTTCACAAAAGTTTCAAGCTGAGCAAAAGTAATCCAACAATAATAAGCTAGGGTTCTATGTTAATTTCTAGAAGATTGCGGGAACTTGGGGCTTTAGCTTTTCTTTATACATTTAAATAAATGTATTAATTAGACTTATTATAAGATGTAATTATTGTAAACGAGTACTAGGTCGGGTACATTTCCTAATTAAATATGAATTAGGAAGAGAAAGGAATAAAAAGAAGAAACATATACAACTTAAAGGCAGAACCAAATTAGAATTTCAATCAATGTATTTTTAATTAAAAAATTCCCATGATGTTTATTATATATTAAAGTATATTTAACTCAATAGCGTTTTCTATAAAATATTTGAAATATTTTGAAAACCCCTTATAAATATGGGGTTAAGATCTGGCGAATGGACATTGAAAGGCATCCAAGCAATCAAATCCATGTCTCGAGAAGTGAATAGCCATTGCAAACATTGCACACAAAAAATACACACAAAACCCAGAGAGCGGAACAGAGTGAGGAAAACCGAAAGGAGATTGAAAAGTGCAGACAACAAAGCCCAGGCAACAGGACGAAAAAGTTGAAAGGAAATGGGAAAAATTCTCTACGGTCAAAGAGCAATGGCAACAACAAAAAAAAAAAAAACAGGAGAAAAACTATCAACAGGAACAAGCGATATCGGACAAACAATAAAGTACAATTGTTTACTCGAGCGTTTTAATTGATCTTTAACAAACTGAAAATAATAGACAAGTGACCACAGACTGCCGAACAGGAAAGGTAAATAAAGAAAAAGTGATATAAACAGAAAATATTTATAAAAGGTATTTTATGTTCATGAAGACTCAATTGGGTTAGCTTTAAGAGGAGATTATTTAAAAGCTAAAATATCTATAAAGAAAAAATCCTTAAGGAAAAGGAAGCTTTAATAATACTTAAAACTTAAATTAAGTAAATGTCAAATATATAGATTTTAATACCGCTTTAAACTCCATTTATCGATAACCACAAATACACATAATTTGAAAATAAATCAAAAACCGCATAGCCCCGGTCAAGATTAAAGCGAAACAGGAAACGGAAAGGCACTTGATTTGCAACCATGTTTAATGGAAATGCCATCAATTCAGATCAGAACTGGCCATCATTAGAAAGAGACATATGCTGTGGCAAAGGGAAAGAGACAGAGGACATCAGATTGAGTAAGAGAAATGGCAGCACTTGTCACATGCCATAAATGCAAATGATTTATCGAAAAAGGCGAACCGAAGCCAATAAAATCATCAAAGACGCCTTCACCATTGATGGCCGCAAATGAGACTCGATTCTAAGCCGGAATCTATATCAATATATGCACAATATCCTATATACATATATACATATTTAAGCATATATATCAATAGGTAAAAGGGACCACCTCAATCCATATATCAAAGGCACATTAGCCCAAATTTGAATTGCCAATTGCTATTTACAAGTTGGGCTGCCGTTGTACATACGGATGACAAAACCCCAAGCACATGTCAAAATTAAATAATGTACCGCACGATTGCTGACTCGTCCTGCATTTTCCATGGGCCATCGTGTTTTCCCCCCATTTCCACCTTCGAACTTGTAGACATGGCGGCATTGGCATTGGCTTTTATTTGAATTCGGTGCGTGCGGCTGTCACTTGTCTGTTGTCTGTTACATTCGCCATGTAAACACAACCGCAGGCAATTTTGGCAATTTGCGTCAACAGGCGAAACACGGAACCAAAACCTCACACACAACAGCATCAGCAACAACAACAACAACAACAACAACAACAGCAACATTAACAACAATAATAAAAAGAGCTCAACCTATATACAGGGAGAAAAATATATATAAAAAAAGAACAACGCCAGTTTTATATTGTAATTGTAATTCTTGGATTAATAAAACGTAAAGAGAGCGATGGTTATGCAGAGAACGAAATATAGTCTTCAATTTGATAGAAATCTATATACTTTGTGATTAGTGCAATAATTGATAAGGTTTAACATATAGAACCAAAAAATAAATAAATCAGAATAAATAAATATATTGGAAAATCATTAAGAACAAATTAATAAGTGATTAAATGTATTATTTATACATAAACAAAATAAACAAATGTATACAAACTTAACAACTGAATTAAATACCAGAAAAATCTTTCAATTAAAAAATTAATTTATACAACGACTTACATTTTGCAGGAAAATTAATCCAATTAAGCAGTTTAAAATGAAATTAAATAAATATTTTAATCAAGACTAGTTCAGCCATTGGAAATTTAAGGATTTACAATTAGAGTATCTACATATTTACTTTGGTAAACTTTTTTAATATAAATTTAATTTTAATAAAAAGAATAACCAACAAACTTCATGGAATAATTAATGAATGAAATGTATTTTTAATACATATTTATTTATTTACTTACTTTTTGTTCAAAGGATTAAACTAAAGCTACAGGTGGGACATCCATAGCTACTTGGGCTTTAAGCTGATTACTTTTAATTTAATTCAATTTATTTTCATATAAAAAAAATTAAAACGTGTTTATTATTACTAAAATGCTTTTAAGATTTACTTAATATTTTTCTCCGTGCATTGGCAAGCCCCAAAAACCCACCGAAAACCGAAACAGAATCCAAGCGGGCGGCCAAGAGACAAACGTCTCGCCTTGGCTTAAGCCGAGAGGTAAATATAAGCCATGGGGGCCTTTTCCTTTGCCTTTGCTTTTTCCATTGCCGTTGCCTTAGCCTAGACGGGCAAGAGTTGGGGCTAAAGCCAGGGGGAAAATGGGGGGCTATGTAAAGTCGCCTGCACCCAAGAAAAGTGTTTGCTTTTGTGCCGAACAACCAACACACGCCGGCCAACGGAAAAAAAAAAATATATAAAAAACCAGAGAAGAACAAAAGCGAGACAAAAATTACAAAATACTCAAACAAAAACACAGGAAGGTAAGGAGGCAGCAATAACAGGTGAGTGGCATGAATACCCTATAGGATTTTTATTAGA